CCTACCCCCAAGGTCCTGCCACCACAAGATCCCACCCGCCCCCCTCCCAGCCATGGAGGTGAGGCCTGTAGTCTGACCACACCGGCATTGCCGCCCCAGCATCTCAGCGGAGGAGTTGCCAAAGCACAGAGGCACCTCTGGAGCCCTTTGTCTCTTCTTCGCAGGTACAGGCACCGACCTCTTTGCACAGTGAGCAGCAGGACTCCCTACTTCTCTCCACCTACTCGCAACCGCCAGGGACCCTGGGCTACCCACCCCCACCCCAGCCCCCACGCCCACCCCGAAGGGTCAGCAGCCTGTCTGAGTCCTCGGGCCTCCAGCAGCCGCCCCGGTAGTGCCCTGGCACCTCAGTCGGGTCACAATCAGCTTTAACCAATGGACGGACAATGGGAGTGGCCACAGGAGTGGGGGAGAGGAGTTTTAAACCCTTGGCTTTTATGCACACTGCATACATTTCAGAACTCCTGGATGGTAACCTTCTCCGGAGCACAGCAGCTGGCATGTGACACATGATCAGAGTACTGGCCGTATTTCCCTTGCCTGTGTGTTTCTCGGGCACACTCTACAGCCATACTCGGATGGGAACCGAGTGCCCCCGCGTAAGTGTCGTTACTCAGTTGACTTAGCAGGTGGCACGGCTCGCTGCGTCCTCCTGAGAGAGCGCACTGGTCCCTCTAGCCGGCTGTGGTCTGTCCACGCTTGCTAGCTGGCCTTCACTCTCTTGACCCTCTTTTCTTTGCATTCGAGAAGCACTGGGTCAGAGATCTGTTGAAGAGAGAGAATAAAGAGATTATTTTTCATTATTTTTAAATGGTTGTTTTTGTTTTAATTTGCACAGCTGCACAGAGGAGATAACTTAGGCACTTTCAGGTTTTAAAAATAATAAGGTCTCCTGACTTCATTTGGAGACCGCAGTAACAAAACCAGCCCACCAATCAGATGGCAGAGCTGGTCATTCTTCACCAGGCTGCAGACCCACACCCTCTGGCCTAAAACCTAATGGAAGGAGGTTCTTCACCCCATGCCCGTTCTGGTGATTATTGTTTCCCCTAAATATAACACTGGACTGTTCCTGTTTACTTGGTTGATTGCAACTACAAAGGCCGACTCAAAGCAAAGCACAATCATGCAGCTGATGTTCCGGAATTCTGTCGGGAACTATGAGACTTTGGAGGAAGAGGTTCCACAAGCCAGACAGGCCTGTGGAGCCCCAGGTCCCCGAGGAGACCCCACCACGCACCGGCCCCTTGAGTCAGAATGCTGCATCTTTCTACAGATCTTTCATGATAAGACCGAGGATTGGATTCTCCTTTTCAAAATGCACTTTGCTTTTTTTGTATGTTTTGTTATGTTGAGATGTTTCTAAAGAAAAAGGTTTTATGTAATTAAAAGACGAAGTGTAGTGAACTGTACAGCTGTTGTAATAATGACCTATTTCTATATAAAATAAAATTGTATGGATTATGTGTAAATTATTTTGTATCTGAGACGCCAGTTCCTTTCCCAAATATAAAAGTATAAAAGTTTTCCTGTGTTTTTCTGTGAGTGGAAATTTTGTAATAAATTAACGAATTTGTACAATTTCCTCTGGAGGCAGTTTCTGTCCCTTGGTATACATGCATGCATACATCTTTTCTTCATTAACATTTTTTTTTTAATTTCAAGACATTTCTAAGGATAATCGAAGATATCAAAAAGGTGAAAGCAAGCAATGAATAAATCAGGTTTTTTGAGCTGCAACATATGCACCAGCCCATCAGGCTTCTGACCTTCATAATTAAAGGTTGTGCCAGAAAAAAAAAAAACGACAACGGTATAAAGATGACAGCACAACAAACAGAAACAGCAAAAGCCCCTGGAAACATCTCAGCCTTCTAGACATAGGGAATCTGTGGATCTGACGGAGACAATCTGCATCAAAGCAGTCACGACTCATAATTAAACTCACCTGGGCTGGACTTCATGGGCTCCAACTGCCAACACTTAGATCTATCAGTGATGTGCATGGGGTTTCTGTGTCTGTGTGTGAGAGGTGTGTACACACGTTTTGTTGGTGGGGGGAGATATAACAGCAGCATCTAGGAGACTTCTGCCAACTACAGATATCCCCCCCCCCCATGAGGCCTCATCACGCTGACATAAGGGTGCCCTGGCACACCATGATTGAGAATCACGGAGATGGCACTGCTCAGCACAGCCCTTTCCGTAAACATTGGCCCAAGAGAACTTTCTTTCCTTGTTCCATTGCTATAGTTCTGTGCTTCTACCTGCCTCCCTGTGAAGTAGGGGTAGCTCCTCTGTTCCATGGCAAAGATCACTTTTGGCTGGCACAAGAGGCTATGCAAATAAAGTCACCAAAAAAGGAGTTCTATTGTTCACACAATTGCTGTATTCCCAAAAAAAGGTAAGTCTCAATGTTCTGCATGCTTTAGGATCATTTACTACTCTTTAAAGGAATCAGAAGTGAACCCTCTTTCTAAAATGAGAAGTCTAGGGGTTGCCTGGCTGGCTCAGTCAGTGGAGCATGTGACTCTTGATCTCAGGGTCATGAGTTCGAGCTCCATGTTAGGCGTGGAGCCTACTTAATAATAAATAAAAGAAAAATGTAGAGGCTGCTTTTAAGGCAAACAGGCTCGAGCAATGGAATATATAGAAAAGGCAGACAGTGGCCCCATGGCTGACTACAGACAAGCCCATCAAGTGACCCACCTCAAAATATCCATAGGCTGCAATTAACCAAAGGGCTACATACAACCAGGCTCAGTTACCAAAAAAGGGGTCATTCCATACCTCACCATACCTCCTCACCTTCCCTCTTTTAAAACAGCCCCCACCATCTTGTTGCAGACAGCCTCTCTTTTGCTGTCCTGCTTGCAGCTCCCTTGTGGTGTATTCAGTAAACTTCTATCACCTTTCTGCCTTGGGTAAATTCTTTTACCACCCACACTGCCAGCCCTGCATAATCCAATCAGGAAAGACACCACATTTAGACACCACAAAAAAGTCTGTGTGAAACTAGATGAACTATTTGGCAATTGAACTGTTCTGTAAATTCGAAGGTTTATTATACATCTGATTTTTCTGTATTTGTATTTTAATTGGCCGTCAGAATCCTAAATAAATCAAGATTTTTAATGGAAGCAGCATACTTATTGTACTAGGATTTTCAAGCTGGAAGCCATTGAAAGATGGCAGAGTACAAACCATGTTACTAATTTAATTTAGCATTGCTTAAATTTCATACATGTTCAGAATCTGGATAAACTCAGAAAACTCTTATTGTGCAACATTTCTTTAAACCCACATAACATCAAAAAAAGCAAAATAAATAAATAAACGCACATAACATCAGTGGAAGTTCAATCCCTAAGATTTTGATTCATTTAATTCCGCTCTTTAAAAGGTGGCTTTGTAACCCTGTCTTGTTTCCAGAAAAAATCATGACCTTTCTCTTCGGAAAACTGTAAAGCCTTGGCTCGTAAGAAGCGGTTGAAATGTAACTCTGGAATACGCAAGCTTTGGAATGCTACTACTGGACAGATCTTCCTTTAGTGCCTTCCTTCTGCACCACCACACCCCTTTCATCTTAACAATCTTTCAGTGGCTTTTCTTAGGAAATCCCATTGGACCTTCCTAAGCACAATCTACCCAAAAAGACCCTTCAGCATTTTCGGGTTTGTTGCCCCCTCGAGACTGGCATCTTCTTCCTTGCTGCCCCTACAGGGAAGCATTCGAATCCTGTCTCATTTTAAGGATTCCCTGGTAATCACTAAAAGTAAAAAGACATGGGAGAGAAACCCAGCTAAAAACGTTCATCTTAAAGGTTTTGGTCTCTGGGAGGCCAGCAGTGACTGGCCTGACCCCTGAGGCTTGAGAGAGAAGAAGCTGGAAGAGCCTGCAGGGCTAAACTGAAACAGGAGAGCCCCCCCCCCCCCCAGCCAGGCTAATGATTATCAGTCCTTCAGACCAAATGGTTTTTATTATGTCTGTTCAACTTTGACTTAAAGCAGCACAGTTGACATCTGAGAGGGCCATTTCGTAGATTTCCACTGGTGGGGTCTATTTGCTTGAAATTTCACAACTTTAGAGATACAAGAAGATCCTACAATGTTTCAGAGAAAATAAAACATCACCAAGGAGGCCACATGACTTCTCAACAACCACTCTGAAAGAAGACAATGGAGAATACCTTCAAAACAGTAGGGAGAAGTTATTTTCAACCTGAAATTCCATACAAGCCAAAACATTAATAAATTTGAGGGTTGAATAAAAACCTTCAGGTATGTGAGGGCTCAACAACTTTAGCTCCCATCCTCCCTGTCTTAAGAAGCCATTAAATGGTGTGCTCCTGTGAAAAAAGGGAGTTCATTTACAATAAGGAAAGCACGGATCCATGGATCAAACTGATTGTCTTAGAATCCCCAGATTGGTGATACCCAGTTCCTAAGCCTCTGGGAAGCTCTAGAATCATCCCTCTGGGCATCTCCTCAGAGCTCCCTATCGTCTCTCACATCATATCTAATCCACTTGTTCAGCTGGACTGCTTACTGCTTCCCCAGTTCCCCTGCCTTTTGATCCCCCTTCCTCAGTATGTCTTCTCTCCTAGCCTTTGTGCCCCAAGGGACAACACAGGTAGAAAGCAACCCAGCCCCATACTCAGTCCTTACTCTGTCCTCATCTGGCTCTTTCCCACTCCCCATTGCTCCAGTAGTGAAACTTGCTAAAATCACTGATACTCTCCTGTTTGGAGAATCTAGTGGGTACATGTTTTTGCCTTCCTTAAACTCTAGCATTTAGAACGTGTTGACCACTTTGGCTTCCTTTTGACTTAGAACATGTTCAACTAAATCTTTTCCTACTGCTCCAATGACTTGTTCCTAATTTCTTCAGCCCCCATCTCTTAAATGTAGTGAGTCTACACCGGTTTTCTCTCTCCAAATCCTCTTGGTTTTACCTATTTGTATCTATAAAATCAGTCTGCTTCTTTCCAATCCCACTGCAACTGCCTTAGTTCAGAACTCCTTACTTGTCTCTTATGTAAATAACTTGTTCCTACTAGTTTTCTTGCTACGATCTTGCCCACCTGCTCCCAATCTATTCTTCACAATGTAACTGAATTAATTCTAAAACAAATCTGACCATGGCACTGCCCTCCTGATAACTTCAATGATGCATTACTTGTAAAACTCTTGAGTAAGGCCCCACACTACCTCATCTCTCCGCCTAGAGTCTAGGAAGCCCTATTGCTTCAGACGGTTCACCTGCCACGCTCCACTTCTCTGCCGGTCTACCTCCTGCCCATCCTTTCAGCGCAGCACTAGCCTCCCTGCTTTCTGCACCCCCGGCCCACCCATGCATCGGGCCGGACACGACCCTCGGGTGGCTCCACAGTCCAGGACAGTAAGTAAGCACTCCCATTCAGGAGTGTCCTTGCTCGACGAGGGCGCCGCCAGGGCAGCCAGGCGCGGCGCCACACTCAGGTTCATCAAACGTCGGCCGAATCAATGAGAGAATGGGAAAAACAAATTAGAGTCTTTTTTTTCCCGCCCCAGGTCCCATCCAGCTGTGGGCCTGGGCTTTATTTCCTCTGAAGATTTAGGGGCAGAGGCGAGAGACCCTGCCGCACCTCCACAGCGCGGTGGAGGTAACTAGGCTACTAGAAGGCAGACGCCGAGAGCGCGCGGCAGGAACGCGCAGTCTCAGCCCTCCCCGGCTCCGCCCCCAAAGTGTGCTTGCTTTTCCCCGGACGCGCGCCGCTTACGTCGCAGCCTCGCCTCCCTCTTCCACCCACCTCCAGGCGACCCGGAAGTTGTACGTGTGACGCTGCTTTCCCTCTCCCACAATACCTCGCGGTCTTCCTTTCCAACCCGGGTCTGGCAGGGTGAGTGTGGGTGCTGGGTCTCGGCTTCGATAATCTGCTTCCATCCTCGCTGGGGATTGTGCTGACCGGGACCGCGAGATTTCTTCTAAGCCGGTCCAGGACTCCGCTTTTCTCGGGGACGCGAACCCGCGCTGTTTAGTGGGTTTCCGTAGCCTGGGAAGGAGAGTGGCCAGGTTTACGGGAGCCGAGCCTGCAGGGGTTTCTGGGGCTCCGGGAGCATCTGAGGGGCACGGCGCTTTGACCGCGGGGAAGCCGACTTGGCTTTGCCAATACCTGGGGTTTCGGGCTTGCCACGACCTTTTGCACCGGCAGCGCCCTGAGGGTGGCAGCGTGAGGCCGGGCTCGGGAGGGAGGGAGGACTTTGGTTTGTGCTGGTCCCATTCTGGTCTGAACTTCCTTGTCGCTTGGGTTTAGATGGCTCCCGCAAAGAAGGGTGGCGAGAAGAAGAAGGGCCGTTCTGCCATCAACGAGGTAGTGACCAGAGAATACACCATCAACATTC